TTAAGAGAGACCAGTTATGTGCACAATAATTAGAGATGTTTTAGATTCTGTTCATCTTTTTACCTGCAGGGTTAGAGGCACTATTCTCTGCCTCAGGCTAATGTTGGAATTGAAGCTAAAGATGAAACAGAATGTAAGATAGCAGGAGGAACAAACAGCTTTTTATTTCAGGCTTTTTTTTTTAATATTCTTTACATTTTGACCTCCTTCCCCTTTCTCCCATCCACAGCCCCCGTGTCTGGAAACTTTTTTCTGTATCAATTAGCTTAGTTTGTTTTTCTTTGTTTGTTTGATTTTTGGTGTTTTGTTTTGATTCCACATATGGAAGAGATTATATAGTATTTACCTTTGTTTGCCTGACTTATTGCACTTGGGATAATGACCATTAAGGTCCATCCATATTGTCACAAATGGAAAAATTCCATTTTTTTTATGGCTGAGTAAGTGTGTATATATTCCACATTTTCTTTATGCACTCATTCATTAATTGACATTTAGGCTGTTTCTATATCTTGACTCTTTTAAATAATACTGAAATGGATATGTAGTAGATATATCATTTCCAGGTAGTATTTTCATTTTCTATGAATAATATCCAGAAGTGGGAATTCTGGATGTTACAGTAGTTCTATTTCTAATTTGGCGGGTATCTCTATATTGTTTTCCAAATGAACTGCACCAGTTTACATTTCCACCAACAGTATACAAGACAGTCCTTTTCTCCACATCCTTACTATGCTTTTTATTTCTTGTCTTTTTGATAACAGCCATCTCAACAGGCGTGAGGTATCATCTCAATGTGATTTGCATTTACTGGTGATTAACGACGATGAGCATATTTTCATGTACTTGTTGGCCATCCATGAATCTTCTTTGGAAAAAATGTTTATTCATATCATCTATATATGTGTTAGTTTATTTCTGGGATTTCTTTTCTATTCTGTTCCAACCATCTATGTGTTTGTTTTCTTGCCAGTAAGAAGGACATGGGTTTTCTCTGTATTATTTCTTACAATTGCATATGACTATAATTATCTCAAAAGAAAATGTTTAATGAAAAGAAAAAGCTTATCAGTATGTTGAGAAGCTAAATGAGTTAAGTGAGGGCCATTTCTTAGCCACTAGCATCCATTTCCTCTTGTCTTGGTAGGAGCAGCATGCTTTCTTTTGTGGTTTCTTCTTCCCCATTACATACAGTCTTGAGGGGGCTGTATTAAGATGCCTTTCCCTCCCTTAGACACGGGATGAAATATTGACAGACATTGTCTTCCAGGTTTTTCAATCTGGAAGCAGAATGATGCAAGGATGGAAGAAACAATGTGAATTCTTTTATTATAGCAACTGAGCCCTGACCACATTGCTGACTAGTTCCTGCTGCTTAGTTGCCAGATTTGCCCTGGATTCTAATTGTTTCAGTCCTGACATCTGTTTCTTTAGCATTGCTATCAACTCTGTCAACAACCAAGTATCTTCTCCAAAATTCTATTAAAAAAAAAAGAATCTAATTGGTTTGGATTACCTGCCTTTTGCTCTTCAAAGATATCTTAAAATACCTGAGCTGTCAATTACCCTAGTTTCACATCATGTCAGTTTTCTTACTTTTTGCATATGGACTAATTTAGAGTTCGCCAACATTGGGATATGCATCATTGGGACATGCAACAAGGATTCAAAGACTCTTTCAGGCAGAAGTCACTGTGAAAGGAAATGCAGTGATGTATTTAAACCATGTAACAATGCCTAACATATCACAAGCTGTTGACAACTACTACAAAGGTGGTGATGACAATGATGGTGATGATGTTGGTTTCCTGGACTGTAGAATGTCTGAAGCAAAAGTTGCAAGTAACTTGCTCTTGTTGTTGATAAAGTGAAACCAAGTAGACTGATGATCTTAATAAGTAGTTGATATACTTGTAATAATCTGGCCATCTGAATGCAGATAATAATAATACTAACCATGTTATAAGCATTTTTTTCTACTAAATAATTTAAAACATTTTCTGTACTTGCTTGAACATTAATTTTTTCGTGAAATTTTTCCTTCACATATAGTTTGGAAGGAAAATTTGACTGCCTTGGATGAATTATCACAGATGAAAGTTGGAAAAAGAAACAGAAAAATATGTAAACATAAATGTGAATATTTCAGCTCCATTTATTCATTTTTAATGTGACCAAAATGAGAGCAACTTTATGCATGGATGTACTTTGCAAATAAAAAAAAATGAAATCTAAAAGAATTGAAAGTCATCATTTGGCTCTGCTGCCCATATTTTTAGTGCAGCATGCAACTTTTCTTATTAATCAAGCACCTGCCGACCCAATCATTGAGATACTGGGCTCAATGGTGTAGTAGACATGAACATGACTTTGAGGAGCTCAGCCTAGCCAGGATTACCAAAAACTTGTAAACACTGTAACAGGCACCTGAGCACTCTGAAGTCTAGAATCTGTGGAAACACAAAGAAAAAATCCATTTACTGGCTTTTCATTAGGGGACTGGAGGGAAGAACAGGATTCTACCAGGCACTTAAAGAGGTAGAATGGTAATAAAGAGCTTTCTTTAATAAAGGTAAATAAAGGTAATAAAGGTAATAAAGGCACAGCTTGCCAAAGGCACTGAGGCACAGGAGACCCCCTCGGGCAACATCAGGTCATCACAGTAGCCCACTGACGGAGCACACCATTCATTGCTTTGTGACAGGGATGAGAGATGAGCCTGGAAATGCCATTTAGGGCCAGCAGTAAAGAATGGCAGAAAACAAAGATAATGATGAGAGTGATGGTGCTCCTTCAGAATGGGATAAAAGGATGAGCCCAGGGATAACACTGTGAAGGACTAAGTAGTCCAACAGTCACGGACAATTAGTCAGAAACCATTTGCTATGACTTCACACCATGCAAAATAAAAAATTTAAAATGTGATATTACCTCTAGCATAATGGGTCAAACGTGAGACAATATGTATTTTAGGTTCTGTGGGTATAGTTAGGACATGTATGCCTCATTTATCAGTTTGGGAGTACAACTTAAGAATGTTAACCAGATGTAGCTTGGTTTTTTTAGCGTATATGCTTACTTATTTATGGTTCATTTCACTAATCTGGTAACCTGGTTCACAGGAAGTAAAGAAATCGGTAGGTATTGCCTATGTATCAAATTCTCAAATAAATATTTTCTGAATGAAGCAAGGTTTTTGGAAGGATTTTTTGTGACCTCACAAGGAAGCAGTATTAAATTAGCCCTACTCTATGCTCATGCCTGACGTGTATTATCTCATTTAATCTTCACAAGAGTCCTCTGAGGAAAATCTACTTATTGCCCCATGTCCTCACTGAAGAAACTGAGGCTGAGTACATTGGGGAACCTACCGGGGACCCACACCAAGAGAACTGTATAATGGCCATGCAGGCCCAGCCCTGACTCCAAATCCCTGTAGAGAATCCCTCTGACCACTGCGCTCCCAGAGTACAGAGTGCTGGAAACAACATGTGAGGAAGATCACTTGGGTGTCTCAGGCATGTAGTAGGTCTGGGAAAGGAGGTCGTCAACCACTCACTGTTTAGACATATGGAATCCTGTTTATAAGGAGAGCATAACCAGTCGTTAGAGGGGAAAATCATAGACTCCTGATAAATAATTTTTTGCTTGAGATAAATGTCTTTCTGAAACATTTTAAATTAAATCTGAAGAAAAGCACGTCAGATAGTGAGGACCATAATAATCCGTAACACAAAGACTGGGGAGGAAAAGCTGTTTCCACAATCTGCCAGTCCTCCTTTTATTAAACCATATTATTCTGTAAATTACCCTTTTCTGTTGGTTTTGAGAAAGGCTTGAGAGGGAAGAACAATCCCTACTTGGGGGGGGGGGCAGGAAGGGAGCATTACAAAATAAGACACTTTCCCTGGACACCCCTCCCATCTGCCCCCTTCCCTGAAATGACTTGAGCCTTGCCCAGTGCATACCCTGTTTGGGGGACTGCCGGCCCTCTCCAGATTCTTCCATACCCAGGGGCATCCCATCCTGACACAGTGATAACACCTCTCCCTGTGGGCTCTGCATCCTTTACCTGCCCCACCTTTGATCAGGATAAACAGGAACCACTAGACTAGATTATCCTGTTCTCATCCTTCCAGGAGATTTTCACCAAAAAAGCTAGGACTAAAGGACAGGCAGGGTGATGCTGAAAACCCACCTGGGGCTTCCTATGAGGTTCTTTTCATGAACCACCTTCCAACAGATAAGTGCATGGTAATTAGTTGATGTAGGTCCCAGGGAGATTCTGGACCCTCCCCCTCCAAAGGGCTGTCCCTGGTCCTCCACCTTACCTCTCCCTGGGGCCACTGAAGCAGGCACAAATTCCCCTGGGATAATTAGGGACCCAGGCATCACATGCCCCAGCAGCCCAGAATTCCAGGGCACAGAGGCCCCTCCCACAGGATGGATCAGCCAATTGCAGTGCAGGCAGGTGGGGCACAAGGCTGGTAGGGTCAATCTCAGACCTTAAATGAACAGCCTCCCAACCATTGCCAGGCCTCCTGGACATCCCCTGACCTAAAGCTGTGACTGAAACTGCACAACTACATCTGCCACAGGTGGGATCCCCAGAACTGGCATGAAGGGTGGGCCACCTCTGAAAACACTGGGGACAGCTGCTTTGGGGATCCGGGGTTTGGGGCTCCCAGGAGGCACTTTTCCAGGACCTGACCCCTCCAGACATGGCAGCTTGCCCCCACACACCAGGACTCAGGACTCCTCACTCCCTGCACTGCCATTTACATGTTCTGGAAGCAGGAGGCAGGTCACAGGGCAGGGAGTGGGAGCACTGCACATCACACATCCTCAGCCTTCCTCCACGGCCTGTGTAAACACTCAGGAGGATAAATTCAATCTTTTTGCTCTACTTCAGTGGCTCTAACATCTCAGAAGGAAGAATGGCTTTTTAGGTGGTTTGATCTAATCAGACACTCATTCTTTTCCTTTCCTAGGTTTTCAAACATGCATCCTGCCTTCTTCCTGGCTACCTTTTGCCTGGGAATAGTGTCAGCTGCTCCACAAGTCAATCAGAGCTTAGATGAACAATGGTCCCAGTGGAAGGCAACACACGGGAAAATATATAGCATGGTTGGTAACATTTAAACTTTCCAGGGGGACCCCTGAAAGAACATTCAATGCTGGTAGGAGTTCATAGCAAGGAGTAGCTTCTTGAGGCCGCTCTTACCAAGTCAGTAAGCAGGGCACTGGGACTGTGCACAACATGGGCATATGTCCTGCTGTATGGTTGTGGAGAACAATTCCCAGAAGCCTCAGGCCATCCCTGGGTGTGGGATATCCTCCTCTCTGTAAGCACATCCACTAGGTGTAGGTCTTTAGGTTTTTTTATTTTTATTTTTTTAAACATGTATTTATTTTTTAGAGAAAGAGAGAGACAGATATTGAGCAGGAGAGGAACAGAGAGAGAGGAAGACATAGAAACCTAAACAGGCTCCAGGCTCTGAGCTGTCAGCACAGAGCCTGACACTGGGCTCGAACCCCGGAACCATGAGATCATGTCCTGAGCCCAAGTTGGATGCTTAACTGACTGAGCCACTCAGGCATCCCAGGTCATTCCTAGGATTTAAATAGGAATATAGATGATAAGTTAAATATTTATCTCCAGGATGAAGAAGGACAGAAGAGAGCAGTGTGGGAGAGGAATATGCAAATGATTGAACAGCAAAATCGGGAACACAGCCAAGGGAAACACAGCTAACAATGGCAATGAATGGCTTTGGTGACATGATGAGTGTGGCACGGATTGTTGGATGTTTCATGCTTCCTTTAAGTACTTTTTCAAAACATCTCATGCTTGCCAACATTCTGTTTCCTTTTCCTTGAAGACCAGTGAAGAATTCAAGCAGGTGTTGAATGACCTTAAAATCCAGAAACACAAAAAGGGGAAAGTGTTCCAAGCCCCTGTCTTTGCTGAGATCCCTTCATCTGTGGACTGGAGAGAGAAAGGCTATGTGACTTCCATGAAGGATCAAGTGGGACAATATTCAGCAGATCCCTCTCAAGAGTAAAGCCAAAATGAATCAGTGTTGTTGCTTTGGAAATTGAGGCACAATATGCAGTTTGTTATGTTTTAAAAGAATTTTAAGATTTATGGGATGTTGTCAAAGTCTTGCAATTTATTTTGCATGCCAAGAGCGTTTGCATTTTGTTTTCAGGGTGACTGTCATTCTTGTTGGGCTTTTAGTGCAACTGGTGCCCTAGAAGGACTGATGTTTCAGAAAACTGGCAAACTTGTTTCGCTGAGTGAGCAGAACCTGGCGGACTGCTCTTGGACTCATAGCAATAAGGGCTGCCATGGTGGCCTGATGGATAAAGGCTTCCAGTATGTTAAGGACAATGGGGGACTGGACTCAGAGGAATCCTATCCATATCATGCACGGGTAAGTGGAGTTCCTTATCTTTTATCAAAGTTGAGCATTTCAGTAGAAACAGATCCTGTATTTAGAATTCTTGTATGTGATTGTAGACTCTATACTTGCAAATGGTCAGAACTGCCATTAAAATGTATTAGCCTAGCACAGCTCTCTGATCACCTCATTACCATATAGCTGTTCCTACAACTATGTTACACGGTATCACGAACACCATCTTATATACAGTACAGGTCTCCAGAGTGAAAGCTTTATGAACGAGTAGACCCAAAGAGTGTCTCATTGGATAGACACTGCTAATTTTTCAACTTCAAAACAATCAATCCCATTTTATGTCCTGAGATGCTTTATAGCAAACTTGACTTGGAAATCATTCAGCTAAACAGTCTTGCACTCCTGTTCCCCTGGAGGTGGATGGTAGTGATCAAGTCTCTCCCCCTTTACCTTTGAAAGAACGAATCCTGCAAATACAAGCCTGAGAATTCTGTTGCCAACGTGACTGCCTTCTGGAGTATCGTAAACAAGGAGGATGGCTTAATGACCACAGTGGCAACTGTGGGGCCTGTCTCTGCTGCTGTAGATGCAAGCCTGAATTCCTTCCAGTTCTATAAAAAAGGTCAGCATGTGTCTACATAGAAAAGTAGGCAGGACAAATGGGGAACCACCATCATATGAGGCAAGATAGACCCTTTTCTGTGTACAGATCAGGAGGGTATGGATTTCACATAGTTATTCCTTCAGCACATATGATTTTGTGCCTGTTGTTCAGCATGTTGACATGACTTCACCCAAATTCCCCTGCTTTCAAGCACTTCGTAAATATATTCAAATGGCTACATAATTTGATTGGTATAGTTTAACTTACTTTAGTTCTTCCCACCTGTTAGACCTGGAAGATTTCCAAAGAGTTTTACTAGTGAAATGGACACTGGAAAGAACCCCTTGGCTCAAGTGATTGTGTGTTTTTCTGCTGCTTCCCAATGCTGACATGGTAGAATAGAATGACAAAGTTTCAGCGAATGTTCTTCTATGCCTCTTGACTGTTCTTTACAAAAGAGATTGTGATGATGTGTGTGTGATGATGTGCATGAGAGCCTAAATCCCAAGACTTGCTAAACAAAAAGAACTTATTTCTAAGTCTTATTGGATTTATATTCCACCTGAATTTTGAGATGCCTCCTTTACTGCCGTGACTCGGTTATTGTTAGATGTTATCATGTTGCTTTGATGTCCCACCTTGGAATTGAAATTTACTTTTCCAGGCATTTATTATGATCCAAAGTGCAGCAATAAACGCCTGAATCACGGTGTTCTGGTGGTTGGCTATGGCTTTGAAGGAGAAGAATCGGATAACAAAAAATATTGGATTGTCAACAACAGGTATAAAAAGCCAAAAATATTCGTCTTTGGAATTGAAAAGGAAATCCTTTTGGCATCAGTGTTTGGATACAGATCATCAAACCCTTGAGCCCACTTCTGAGACCCCAGAAGTGTTTGCCCTACTTAGCGGGAACAGAGACATATTCATTTGTTGACATTAAGCTACTGTTTCAAACTTGCAAGGGTCCTGCTATAGTTTGAGTAGTACTGCATCCGAAACACATCTGACCCAAGAATTTCCTTTTCCTGTCTCTCATTTTGCAGTTTTGTGAAAGTTTTGGGGATAGATTTCTCTGCTGGGTTGGAACTCAACCATGAACAAGGATGGCCTCTCTTGATTCATCCTGAATCTGTCCTGGCCTCTGAGGCACTGCTGAGTATCAGGTGTTATTGTTCATAAGAGAAATGTGTTTCTTCCTCTGTAATAAATGAAAAACCCAAATTTTTTTCATCTGGGGTGCAAACTGGGGCAAACACGGCTACATACTCATGGCCAAGGACCGGGACAACCACTGTGGAATCGCCACCATGGCCAGCTTTCCTATTGTGTGAGATGATGGTATAAAGAAGACCTTGACTGGCAACAAATTATCCACAAAATGGATTTTATTTTCAAGCCTACCACACCCTGCTGTGTGGGGGAAACACTTGAATCATTTAAAAACCAAGTTGTGATTTGATTGTGTGACATTTTTCACTGTGAATGTTACCACTTCACTCATTACTGCTGTAAATACTTTTGTATGAGTGACTAGTGTAGTAACTTTTGAATTTTCAAGTTTCTTTAAAAATGTATGAAATTTTACTTTTTAAAAGTGAAACAACTGTAGGGGTGCCTGGGTGGCTCCGTTGGAGAGTGTCCAACTCTTGATTTCAACTGAGGTCATGATCTCATGGTTCGAGGGATTGAGCCCCTCGTTGGGCTCTGTGAGCTGACAGTTTAGGATTTTAATTTCTTTAGAGAAACCCACAAACGTGGCCTAACTACCATTAATGTTTTCTTCCACCATAAAATGTTGGAACAAAAAAGAAGGACTTGAATAGTGTGTGATCTCTAACTAAGCTTTAGTGATAATGATTGAAATATATGCGCTGCTGGAATGGAGATTTCTTCACTCTTCTGAGTCCTTTGCTCCTAAAAGAACCAAGTGTTGTAAGTACACACACACTTGTCCAAATTCCACTTTCTAATTTCTGAATCATTTGCTTCCCTTGCAATTTGTTTTGATAGAAATTATAAAGGTCTATGGAATGTGGGAAACACTGGTAATTACTTTATGATACATGCAAGACTTAGGGAGGAGTCAAAATTTGTTTTCTGCTTCATTTCATGTCTATAAGCTTCTCTTAGAAATAGGATTTTTAAGTTTGTTTATTTATTTATTTATTTATTTTGAAAAACAGAAAGGACAAGCAGTGGAAAACTCAGAGAAAGAGGGAGAGAGACAATCCCAAGCAGGCCCCACACTGTCAGTGCACAGCCTGACATGAGACTCAATCTCATGAACTTGAAACCATGACCCGAGCCAAAATCAAGAGTCTATTTCTCAACCGACTGGGCCACCCAAGTGCTCCTCAAAATAGTTTTATGAAAGATGATTTGTGATTTTCCAATTTTTAAATAAATATGAATGGCTTGTAAATTACCTAAGCTTCTAATATCTGCTGAATTGTTCACACATCAGTCAGATCTACCC